GCAATTTGGAAGTAATTTATTTCTGGGGGAAGCCAGATGCATTGCCGAGTCTTTCATTTCTGTACTATATGTCCCTTACAAAAGGAACACTGCATTGGATATGAAATTGGATGGTCTTACCCGAATTTTCTGCGAGGTATTTGGCCAAAACTTTTATTGATTTGATATGAACTGGCAATGTTATTTAATAGTTGCAAGAATATCTGATGTGGGAAATTGGGATGTAATTGAAGGCCCTTTTCTGAGTTTGAATTTAAGGACCGCTTCATGCCGCAGCCTGCCGTTAATGTGCTATACCTCAGAGAGTTTATGTTGACATTGATGGAGTTTGAGAAGGTGTTTTTGAATTGAAATTTTATTTGCCTTGATTGACACCATAACTATTTCTGTTTTATTTAAAAATGCTAGTGTGGGAATTTTGAGCATTGGGAAAAGGGCAATTTTTAAGATCGAAAGAGTGGAATTTGAAATGAAATACTTTCCTATCATTTGCTGTAACTCAGCTAGCCCCAGAATATTAGCCTGGGTCTCTGGATTTCTAGTCCAGTGACATTACTGCTACTCTGCCACCGCTCCCTGATTTTCTAATTTTCACATTATACTCCATTTTTCAATCTTTTGCTGACTCAATTAATATTTCTTTGCAAATTCATCTGTATTCTCCTTGAAACTTGCTTTCATGCCTATCTTTGCACCATGAACATATTTGGCTAAAATATAATTGATCCCTTCAAGCCATGAGTATAGATCAGAATAGTTGAGCCTTCAGCACTGACCGTTTGGCACCCCACTACTTACAATTAGCCAATCTCATAATGACTCATTTTACCAACTCTCATTAATTAGCCAATTCTGTATATATGTTAATGTATCAACCCCAATCCCATGAACTTTTGTGTAACAGCATTTTTATGTGGCACATTACAGAGATTTAAATACATTGCACCTACCATATTATTCTTTTTTATCTACGCTGCTTGTTGCGTCCTGAAACATTCTAATAAATTTGTCAAACACTATTCACTATTTTTCACTATTTATCTTTGCAACTGCATCTGCTTGATTGTTATACTTTTCTAACCACTAAATTCCCGTCATAATGGATTGCAGCAGTTCGTAAATGACTGGCGTTAGATTAATTGGTGTTTATTTTCGTGCTTTCTTTCTGTCTCCTTTCTTGAATAGTATTACATTTGCAATTTTCCAAATTGCTGGGACCTTTCCAGAATCGAGGGAATTCTAGATTATGTTTCTTTAATTCTTTCACTTGATATGGCCATTACTGGCTTAGCCAGCATTAATTTCCCTTCCCTAGTTGTCATTAAGAAAGTGGTGGTGAGCTGCAACCTTGAACTGCTGTAGTCCATTGGTGTAGGTAGACCCAAATTGCTGTTGGGGAGGGCTTTCCAGGATTTTGATCCAGTGACACTGAAGGAATGATGGTATATTTCTAAGTCTAGATTGTGTAAGTGTCTTGTAGCGGAACTTGCAGGTGGTGGTGTTACCACATGTCTTCTGCCCTTGTCCTTCTAGAAGGTAGTAGTCATGGATTTGGAAGGTGCTGTCGCAGGAGGCTTGGTGAATTTCTGAAAGGCATCTCATAAATAATACAGAGCTGCTATTGAGGTTTGTCGTGGAGGGAGTGAATGTTTGTGGATGTGGTCCATTCAAGTGGGCTACTTTGTCCTGGATGTTGTCAAGCTTTTGTGTGTTTTTGGAGTTATGCTCATCCAGGTAAGTGGGGAGTATTCCATCACACTCTTGAATTGTGCCTTGTAAATGGTGAACAGGCTTTAGGGAGTCAGGAGGTGAGTGAGGTGCTTAATGCAAGTCTATGACCTGTTCTTATAGCCACGGTATTTATATGACTAGTCCAGTTCAGTTTCCAATCAATAGTAACCACAAGGGATGTTGATAGTGGGGGGAGTTCTGTAATGATAGTAGCATTGAATGTCATGGGTGATAGTTAGGTTCTGTCTTGTTGGAAATGCTCATTGCTTGGCACCTGTTTGGCATGAATGTTACTTACCACTCGTCAGCCCAAGCCTCGATATTGTCCAGGACTTTGTGCATTTGGGCAAGGACTGATTCAGTCCCTGCTGAACATTTGTGCAGTTACTGCTTAATTCCCATCCTAGTTTTTATTGCATTTTCCACTGTAGAAAACTGTGTCCTTATACATTTGGAATTGCCTTTATTTAAGTTTAAAACACTAGTTTAGCCATAGAGCCATAGTGTCATAGAGAGTCATAGAGTCCTAGTTTTTCATCTTCAAATTGAATGTGAAATTCTGTTATGTTATGATCACACTCGCATGGAGGATCCTTTACTCTGAGATCTGTAATCCTGTCTCGTTACATTACATTGCCTAAGATGGCTTGTTCCTTGACTGGTTTCAGAATTTGCTGATCTATGTAACTGTCCTGAATGCTCTCTATGAATTAATTTTTGAGGCTAGCTTTTGCCATTTTGACTTAACCAATCTATATGAAGATTAATATTGCCTATGATTATTGCAGTCTCTTTCTTACAAACCTCAGTTATATCTTGATTTACAGATAGTTTCTAATCATCCTGTTCAGCAATATTATTACACATATGACAATGAAACGATCCACCAGTACAATTTGCTCTTTTTTTAGTAATAGTTCCAGTGCACTATGAATCTAAAATGTTTTTCTCCCAACCAATCTTTCAGCCATACATTTAACTCTCTGATTTCTCTACCCTATGCCAATTTACTTGTGATTTGGATAGTAATCCAGATATCATTACCCTGTTCTTCTGCTTTTTAATTTAGCACCTGGGCTGCTCATAACCCCACCAGAACCACTTTCATAGTTCCTTCCCATTGCAAGTTCCTGTCCAGCCTCAATAAGTTATTCTTAAACCTGGCATCGAGCTCAGCCTTTGGAACTTTTGCTCTTAGTTGCAGAGAGCAGTATCTATTTGTAGCCTGGAACTATATGCCATGCTAGTACAACATCTTTACTCCCCTACGTTAGTTTACCCCTGTACAGGGGAAAACTGACTTTACCTGTCAAGTTTTGCTATCTTTTTTACCTTCTCTCAAGCCACTGATTCTTTTGTAGAAAATCAGAATTGTGCCTCTTCCACAGTCAATAGTTTAGAAAAAAAAAAGGTACCATGGAATTGATAAATCATCCCAATAGGATACATTTTGTCATTGTTGATTTCTCTTTGTTATTGAAAATGGTCATCTCCTATGCATAGCAAGACATTGTGGAAAAATTGTTCTATTTCAAATGTTTTGTAGATACCTGGATTAGTTTAAAAAAAGTCACTGAAAGGCTGATGTAAATGGATTTTTTTTATAACCAAGGCTTTTTGGAAATATGTGACTTCAGACATTTGGACTCGCTTCTCAACGGTCAGCTGCTTGAGTTTTATGGCTGTCTTATTTAAACAGTTTGTGGTATGGAGAGTTGTTTCAGTTTGAAAGGAGTTGATCGTCATCAAGCACAAAGCAAGCCCACTTGATTGGCACCATAACCTACAAACACTGACTTCCTCTACAACCAATGTTCAGTAACAGCAATGTGTGCAATCTGAAACGTGCATCGCAGAAATTCCCCAAGGCTCCTACAACGTCACCTTCCAAATGCATGGCTATAACCACCTAAAAAGACAAGGGCAGAAGATACTTTGGAACATCACCATTGTAAGTTCAACTCCAAGCTACTCACCATCCTGACTTGGAACTAGTCATTGTTCCATTATTGCTGGTTCGAAGTCCTGTATTATGTCTGTACCTATCCCAAATGTCTAAAGGAGTTGAAGAAGCCAGTTGATTGCTACCTTCTCAAAGGCAATTGAGGATAAACAATAACTGCTGGTCCAGCCAGCAAACCCATATCTCAAGAATGAATTAAAAAAAATACTTGAGCATGTTTTGTCTCCCAAGACCCCAGATAAAATTGTGCATGATTATTAACTTGACTATATGTCTAAGGTCACCAGATCGACATTTCAAAACCTCCTATGTCTTATTCTTTTTTCCTTTAAAGAATAACTACCCATGTCCAGCAAGTCGTCTTATGAAAGTGGATTTATGCAGGAAATTTCTTTTTCCTTTACCAGATGAGTGTGTTTATTATGTGTTTTGGGCTGCTTAGAGGGACAACATTTACATTTTCTCACTACAAATTGTGTGCGTTAACTAATTATACATCTTTGTTGTTTGGATTTCGTTTTGTAATAAATTGATGATTTTGTAATTGATATTTTAATTATTGAAGAAACTTGGTTGATAGATCTTTTCATTCTAAGTCTAATATAAAGAAAGCATTTGTGTCCACATCAAGATTTGGGTACTATAATTTTAAATTTTGTTGTGACCCATGAAGTAGTGGGATCAGTGCGACAGTGCATTCCTCACATCTTAGTTGTAACTAGTCATCTGTGCATTCTAATGTGGCAATGGAACCCTATTGCAGACCTTCATGGCATTTCACAGCATGTGCAAGGATGAATTGACTGATTTTTGATATTTATGCAAAACAAACTTATTCAGGGTTCCTTCTTTCCACTTTTTTCTACACATATGATATATATCACCCCCACTGCACCTCAATTTATATGTTGATTGAAGAAAACAGGAATACTGTAAACCAATGCAATTTTTAATCCCTAATCCTGATTTTTCTGTAGCCATGTCTCAGTGAGACAATATTTTTGAATCATCATCGTTCTCTAGAATAATCTTTCAAAATCTCATCGCTCTTCCCTTTACCCTTTGAAGTCTTCCAATCCTAGGTTTTTGTCAACCCCTCTGCTAAACTGTTGTGTTGCTCGGCATTGAATTTTTTTTGTCTGATCGTACCTCTAGGTTGTTGGGGGAGATAAACCAACATGGAGGAGGGTGATTACGTTCTGAAATTATTAAACTTAATGTTGAATCCTGATGGCTGCAGGGTGCCCAGGTGAAAGATGAGGTATTGTTAATGTGAGATAACAAGGTGTAGAGCTGGATGAACACAGCAGGCCAAGCAGCATCAGAGGAGCAGAAAAGCTGACGTTTCGGGCCTAGACCCTTCTTCAGAAAATGTTAATGTGCTGTGTTTCTCCAACACTTGCTATTTTCACTTCAAGACTACATTTCTTACACTCTTCTGGCTTACTTAAAATATTGGCACCTGATAGACTACATCTTAGTATGCGAGTGCGACTCAAGGATATCCTGCATATTAGAGTCATGGTCAGTGCTGACTGTGATACAAAGCTGAACTTCCATCTCAAACCTATGCCCAAGAACAGACTGAGTGATAATCCATCAAAGAAATTTTGAGCAGGCAACCTGCAAATCTCAGCTTGCAGAGACGGAGAACAAGCAAACTTAAAACATCAGACTACAACATTCTGATCTCACTGCTGATTCCACTCCAGAACTCTGGGAAACACATCAAAATTATAGAATTGGATACTTCCAATGAGGTCATTGGATCCAATACTAAGGAGCATGGGGACTGGTTTGTTGAAAAATGACCAGCAAATCCAAGATCGCTAGCAACATCAAAGTCAGCTCATCTGACCCAGCCAGCCATTTGAGATGTAATGGCAGCCTATTTTCAAGCACCCTTCAATGTAAAATGAGAAACATCCAAAATGACCGGTGGAATGCACGTGGGAAAAACATAAGTGTCCATTATTATCGCAAAATAATATACTATGAAGCACTACAATCTGTTTATGGGCCAGCATACCAAACCAACCATCCCCCCACAAAGAGTGCCAGTAGGAAGACACTACATAACCACAAGAAGCCAATACTGGATTGGATGCTCCTCAGTGAACCTTTGAATAACTTTGCCTTTAACTCTGCTCATTTTCTTCAGATCAAAGGCTGGCCATGAGTGCTTGCATGGGCCCGAGTTATACCTGTCTCTTTGTGGGTTATGTAGAAGATTTCTTGTTTCAGTCCTACTTGGGTCCCTCCCCACAATTCTTTCTCCAGTATGTTGATGAGATAATCAGGGGTCAGTTAGCTCAGTTGGCTGGATGGCCAGTTTGTGAGTGATGCCAGCAGTGTAGGATTACTTCCTGCACCAGCTCGGGTTACCTTGAAGCATTTTCCTTTGCAATGTCTCCCCTTGCCTGAGTGGTGACCCTCAGGTTAAATCACCATCAGTTGTCTGTTCTAATGAGACAGTAACCCTTTGGTCTGGTATGATTATGGTGGCTTTACCTTTGCCTTTAATTGGTGCTGCTTCCCCCTCTTGTCTGAAACTGGAAAAGGTTATCAATTTTGCTTTCTGTTTCCACTCTGCTCTCACTTTCACCTGATGCATCTTTGACTCTTGCGTTTCCTTCCTCAACATCTCTGTTTCTATTTCTGGGGATAAGCTGACCACCAAAATCCATTACAAAACCACCGACTCTGTTACCTTGGCTATAAATCCTCATACCCTGCTTCCTTTAAGAACTCTATTCCATTATCCCAGTTTCTGTGCCTCCTTTACATCTGTTCTGATAATGCGAACTTCTGGATGGGTATCTCAGAAATGTCTGCCTTTTTCCTCAACCAAGGATTCGCCACCACTATGGTTGACAGGACCCTCAGCTTTATCTGACTGATTTCCTGTGCTTCTACTCTTAGCTCTTTCCTCCCCTCCCATAACAACTATAGGCTGCCCCTGTTATTCTCTTTTCACTCCAATAGCCTCCATATCCAAAGAATCATAAGCTGCCATTTACGCCACCTCCAGTGGATGCCATAAGTCGCCCTCCCTTGACAGCATTCCATAAAGGACTTTCCTTTTGGGGCATTGATCCACTTCTGTTCCACTCCCAACACCTCCCCATACTCCACAGCATTTTCCCTTGCAGTCGCAGAAGATGTAACACTTGCCCATTTACCGCCACCCTCCTCACTATTCTAAGCTCCAGATACGCCTTTCAAATGTAGCAGTGATTTGCCTGAACTTCATTCAATCTAATCTACTAGCTGATTTGCTTTGCCAAAAACCTATGCTTTCTCTGTAAAAATGACCCCAAGCTTCCAATTGCTTGCCAGTTCAACACATTACCATGCTTCCATGTCAAAGTTTCTGTCACAGGCCTGCTGCAGTGCTCCAGTGAGGCTCAATGCAAACTGGAGAAAAAAACACCTCATCTTCCATCTTAGTGCCTTACAGCCTTCAGGACTCGACATGGCGTTTAACAATTTCAGCGTCATGTTTGTTACCCTTCCTCCACATCCCTAGGTTCTCTCTTGTACAGATTGCTCCCAAGACAGTCAACCCATTTTCAACCATTTACACTTCTTGTTAGGACCCTCCCTAGCATTTTTCTCTCTCTCAGCTACTCATCAGCAATCTCTTTGTTTGTCTATCCCTCTTTTTTCTCTCTTTCTCTTGGTCCCACCTCCACATGCTCTGTTGACTCACCTGACCACATGATTAACACAAATACTACCCTTTCCCCTTTCACAGTTATCTTCAATTATGATGAAGGGTCACTGGACTCTTTTTTTTTATTCATTTGTGAGATATGGGCATCGCTGGCTGGCCAGCATTTCTTGTCCATCCCTAGTTGCCCTTGAGAAGGTGATGGTGAGCTGCCTTCTTGAACTGCTGCAGTTGTCCAACTGTGGGTTGATTCACAATGCTCTTAGGGAGGGAATTCCAGGATTTTGACCCAGCAACGGTGAAGGAACGGCGATATATTTCCAAGTCAGGATGGTGAGTGACTTGGAGGGGAACATGGAGGTGGTGGTGTTCCCATATATCTGCTGTCCTTGTCCTTCTAGATGGAAGTGGTTGTGGGTTTGGAAGGTGCTGTCTGAGGATCTTTGGTGAATTTCTGCAGTGCATCTTGTAGATAAGTACACACTGCTGCTACTGAGTGTCGGTGGTAGAGGGAGTGAATGCTTGTGAATGTGGTGCCAATCAAGCAGGATGCTTTGTCTGGGATAGTGCCAAGCTTCTTTAGTGTTAATGGGGCTGCACTCATCCAGGCAAGTGGGGAGTATTCCATCACACTCCTGACTCGTGCCTTGTAGATGGTGGACAGGCTTTGAGGAGTCAGGAGATGAGTTACTCGCCACAGTATTCCCAGCTTCTGGCCTGCTCTTGTAGCTACTCTATTAATGTAGTGAGTCCATTTGAGTTTCTGGTCAATGGTAACCCTCAGGATGTTGATAGTGGGGGATTCAGTGATGGTAACACCATTGAATATCAAGGGATGGTGGTTAGATTGTCTCTTATTGGTGATGATCATAGCCTGGCATTTGTGTGGTGCAAATGTCACTTGCTACTTGTCAGCCCAAGACATGATATTGTCCAGATCCTGTTGCATGTGAACATGGACTGCTTCAGTGTCTAAGGAGTCACTAATGGTACTGAACATTGTGGAATCTTCGGCGAACATCCCCACTGACCTTATGATGGAGGGAAGGTAATTGATGAAGCAGCTGAAGATGGTTGGGCCTAGGAACTACCCTAAGGAACTTATTTCTATGTTTCAAATTTTTAAAACTTCTGTGAGTTGTATTTATGTTTAGTCCTAGATAGTATGCAGGTAGATTGAGAGATTTTGAAATTCCAAATAAATGATTTTGATTCAGTTTAAAAAAAAATCAGCAAAGTGTTTGTTCATATAAGTGAGCAAATTTAAAGTTCTTATTAATCACTTCAATAATGGTTTTAAAACTATGTGTTTGTTAAAAGTATTGTGATAATTTGCTGTATTATGTTAGAAGTAGACATGGTAAAATGGTAAATGTTATACCAGTTATGGAAAACTATGCCACTTACTTTTCATTAAAGTGTCCATTTTAGTATTTGTATTTGGCTGGTATCTTCTGTGCACATGATTTATATTAATGTACTCATTTCTTTTTCTCTTATTATATGCATCATGAGCAAATCAGTTTGTAATTAATTGTTATTTTATTTGTTATATAGCTTTATGCCAGCTCTTACAGGCTTCTAAAGGCAGAGATGGTGCTGGCCGTGTCAGTTCAAGTACAGATGAAGGTAAAATCCCTTCTGATGGTCCTATGTCATCCCTGTGACTCTAGTGACCTTTTGATCTTTTAACTTTCCAGTTCTTTCTTTCTCACAGCAATGTTGCTTAGCAGGTGATGGAACTTCCAGATTGTATTTTAGGCTCTTCGCCTGGATACAGCTCTTGGAACAGCCTTTAAAAAAAAACTGTGGTGATTCACAAAGCTCCTCCTTCTTCTGAAAAGATGCAAGCTCTCTTTTGTGTGCTTTTCTTTTTGTCTAATGCAATTCCAAACCATAGCAAGCTTTCAGAACTGATTTTTGTGGAACAAAGACCAGTTAGCAGTGCTATTAGCTTTCTCTTAATTACTCCTGTACACTACAATAACAGGTAACAATAGTTGTTTCTGATCAGAAAAATAACCTTAACTATTGGCATTATTTGTTAACTTATTGGAGTTTTGAAGGAATAGGCTTAAATAATTGGCTAATGTTTAGATTAAAGGCATTATCAGATTCACAAAAAATATTATTTTTAAACTAATATCACATATAGATAAAAAGAAGAGTTTTCAATCGTGGACAACAATCTTTTCATGCCCTTTTCAAATTAAAGCAATCCAAAAAAAATTGAAACTGCACTGTTTTTAAGTTGGAATTATAAAAGTCAGCACTGCGCATTTTAAAGCTTTGTTATGCACATTAAAGCTTTATAAATTTTGATCTGCAATAATACTTTACAGCGTTTGTTGTGTAAGAATCTTTGTGCATCCTTGATCACTTTTATAACAAGTGCTTAATGAATTTTGTCTTTCTTTTTGTAGGGTGACTTATTCTGTCTTTTCTTGGATTTTGGTCACTGCTGTACTGTAATGTTTGTGTCCAGGATGGGGAAACCTTTATCATTCTGTATATTTGTCTTTTTTTTTCTTTCAGGTGAAAACTATGAGCAGAGTCCATTACGAAGAACTTTTAAATCTAAAGTGTTGGCTCATTATCCAGAGAATGTGGAATGGAACCCTTTTGACCAGGATGCTGTTGGGATGGTTAGTATATACAGCATGTTATGAGAAACTGGTCTAAATCCATAAATATGTTGCTTGTTTTTACATTCTGAACCCTTGCCAATCATGGTACATGTCATGTGTTGAGCTTCAGGTCTGGGCCGTACACTGAAATGAAAACTTGAGGTTAAGGCAGATGCTTCTTCTTGTGGAAGGGCAACAATTGAACACTGCCTTTTTCCCTGATAAAAGCCTGGAAGTCAATTATTGCTGTAATTAGACAATATGTATAGCCCAGGGGTTGCAAATTGGGAAGGGAAGATGAATTAATCCCTCACACCTTATTATTTAAGTGGTAATCAATATATGCAATGGACTTCCAATGGACTTCCAAGATAAAGTATTTGATTTGAACATCTTGGTATCACATTAAAAACAATCAGATGCAGCAATATGGATAAACTTGTGTTGTGACAGGTTCAGTGGCCTGCCTCATTTGAAGATACCTTCTGAAATTATGTCGAGTGTCCTTTGTAGCCTTTCATTAAACAGTGACTTGTAAAAACACATTTGATTACTTCTATTGACATGTCTACGACTGAGATTAGATTCACTGATCTGTAATTCCAAGGCTGTGTTTCAGCTCTGGGGCACTGGCAAAACAGCATAGTGGAACATCATGAATGATAGTACAGCTGGTGGACTGGTAACTCAAATTTCTCTTGGTCAAGCTCTACAAATACTTCTGGAAACCTAATGAGGATGGGGGTCAGAATAAGATTATATAGTTTAAGGCTGGAAAAAGCAAGTTTGTTGCAACTTCTAGTACTTTATTGTAAAATGCATGATGGACTTGGGAAGGTGGTGTTGGGGCGGTCCTGAGGTGAGCAGTCATGGGAGGGCAGCTAGAACCACAGTAAGGAAGGAATTGAGACTGGGAACAGTCAGAGCTGTGGGTGCAGGGGAAAAAAGGAAAAGAAAACAAATTAAATACAGGTAAGAGAAGGTTATTATATGGGAAAAAGAAGATGGTGTCAGGGCTGAGGTGGTGGAGAAGAACGATGGATAGCGGGGGTGAGAGAGAGAAAAGAACAGAGAAGATGGATGTGGTTGGCGTAGCAGAATGATGGCAGGGGAGGGAGTTGTGGGGAAGAGGATTTGAGGGGAAAGGAAACATCGGGAGGGTGGGGCAAGAGGGGCGGGAAGAGAGGGATATCATGAAAGTGTATGAAAGAAAGGCAGGAGAGTAGAGCAACAATGAGAATGTAAGGAAGATGGTGAGGGAGAAAGAGGGACATTGGAAGACAGGGAGAGGGACAGGGAACAGGGGGATAACAGCAGGGCGGGTAAAAGAGAAGAGAGAAGGATTATGGAGGATGTAGTAAAGAGGAAACGTTGAATGAGTTGCAACGGTGGATGGGGAAGAGGTAGTTGAGTTGGAGGAAGGCATAATTATGTCGCAGCAGAGGTTGAGAGGGATGCAAGAAGGAGTCATGGCAGAGGAAGAGAGATGACAAAAGAAAGTCATGGAGGAGAAGGGGGAAAGAGGTATTCATCGTGGAGGAGCAAATGGGAAAAGAGGGACTCATGACAGAGGAGGCGAGGGGTAAAAAGGGAATCGCAAAAAGGGAAGACTGAATTGCAAGCAAACAGAGGAGGTATTCATAGGGTAAGGGTTATACTGGAGGCTTGGGTGATGAGGGAGTGAAGGGCGGATGAGAGTAGTAGTAAGGGGCAGGGGAGAAGATGTCAGTGTGAGGGAAAGGGGCGGGAACTGGCAGGAGGGAAAGAGGGGATAGTGGGAGGTGGAGTTTATGGATGGGAAGAGATGGGTTGGGAGTAAGAGCTACTATGGAGGGATAGCAGGTCACAGCAAGATTCGCCACATGGGGAAAGAGAATCCAGTGGAGAGATAGTCATGGTGGGGTAAAGGATGTTGTGGCGAAATGAGTTGGGACTGTTGTGAGTGTGGAGTAGGTACAGGTTGGGAAGCCGAGACAGAAGTCCAGTCAGGCCAGACTGAAGTAGATGTCAAGTTTGGGTGAGGAAGGGGCAGCTTTGGTGTAAGTGAGGGTATGTCAGGACTGGCCACATTGCAAGAGGTGCAAAGAGTTAGAGATGGGCCCAGTTGGATGTGCATGGTGTCAGGGTTGCGAGTTGGTTGAGCTGAGGCAGAATGGGGAGTTGTTGAGTTCAGGTGTGTCAGATCACTAGACTGTGTTGGGAGATGGTCTGATGGGTTATAGGGAGGAAAAGTCTGAAGGGCAAGATGTCGAGCCAAGTGCAGGTGAATGGGCTAGGTGAGTTGTGCTGGGCAAGTGAGATTTAGCTCATTTGGGAACCATGAAACCCTACACTATAAGCAAATTTGCAGATGTTGATCCATGTTATTATCAGACTTCCATTGCACATTAAAAGATTTATTTGTTGAGCAGTAACTAACATTTAAAGAGTGAATACTTGATTGTAACAATTATATAATTCCTTTTTAAGGTACAACAATAATGCAGAAAATGTGGTTCAACAGTAGTTAGCGAGAGGAGGTAAAGCCAGTATTAGATCAAAGGAAAAGGCTTATTATGTTGCCAAAAATGCGCTAAATTTGAGGATCACATGGATTTTAAATTTTAGCAAAGGAGGACCAAGAAATTGAAAAGGGAAAGGAATATATATAGGAATGTGCTGATTTGTAAATTCCCATTGTGCAATTGCTTTCCATTGATGCATCTGTCCACCACAGTATTGATAAAAGTGACCACTGCACAGTTCTTGTGGAGATGAAATCATGCCTTCCATTGAGGATACTCTGTGTCAAACTGTATGGCACTATCATTGTGCTAATTAGGATAAATTCATTCTGACCTGGCAATTCCAGAGTGGGCATCCATGAATGGCTGTGGACATCAACAGCAGCCAAATTGTACTCCAACACAATCTGCCCCCACCTTACCATTACCTTCAAACTAGGGGATTAACCCTCTTTCAATGCAGGGTACAAGAGGGAAGCAGCACCGGGTTTATTTATGTGTCAATCTGCTGAACCTACAGGACTAATTGTGTGCCAAACGGCATAAAGCAGCAAGTGATAAAGCAAAGCAATACCACAACCAATGGGTCAGATTTAAGCTCTGCAGTCCTGCCACATTCATTGTAAATGGTAGGGACCACTGAACAGCTCACTGGAGGAGGAGGGAGTACAAACATCCCCATCTTCAATAATGGGGGAACTCGAGATATCACTCCAAAAATCAGGCTGAAGCATTTGCAACAGTTTTCAGCCAGACATTTCAAGTGGATTATCTATCCCAGACTACTTCTAGGGTCCCCATTGTCAGTCTTCAGCCAATTCAGTTCACTCCATATGATATCAAGAAATGGTTGGAGGCAATGGAAACTGCAAAGGCTATGGGCCCCGACAACATTCCAGCAAAAGTACTAAAGACTTATACTCTAGAACACGCAGTGCCCTTAGCAAGCTGGTCCAGTACAGCTGCAACACTTGCATGTACCTGACAATGTAGGAAACTGCCCAGATATGTCCTGTGTCTAAAAAGCAGGACAATTCCAATCTAGCCAAATACTGTCCCTTAAGTCCACTCTCGATCATCAGTAAAGTGATGGAAACTATATTTTTTGTTTTACCTCCAAAGACCATGCGCAACAGCAACTTCTGAAATTGAAAGTCAATGCTGGGAGCATAGCCTGAGTTGACCACTCTGCTTAGAATGAATGTTGGAAGGAGGACGTCATCGACTGTTGTCATGCAGTTTTGCTTCGCAATAAACTACTCAGTGACACTCAGTTTGGTTTCCACCAGGACCATTCAGCTCCTAACCACATTACAATGTTAGCTCAAAGATGAACTAAGGAGCTGAATTCTAGAGGTGAAGTGAGAGTGACTGCCTTTGACATCAAGGATACATTTAATCTAATGTGGCATCAAGAAACCCTGGCAAATGAGTCAGGGTGAGAACGCTGCACTGGTTGGAGTCATACCTGACACAAAGGATGGTGGTTGTGGTTCTTGAAGGTCAGTCACCTCAGCACCATGACATCTCTGCAGGAGTTCCTTAGAATAACATCCTATGCCCAATCATCTTCAACTATTTGATTAAATGTTCTTCTTGCCATCTTGAGGTCAGAAGTGGGTCATTCATGATGATTGTACAATGTTCAGCATGATTTGCGACTCCTCACATACCAAAGCAGTACACGTTCATATGCAGCAAGACTGGGACAGTATCCAGGTTGGAGCCAGCAATGACCATCTCCAAAAAGAGAGAATCTAACTGTCACCCCTTGATATTCAATGGCATTGCCATCCCTGAATTCCTTCCACTCTCAGCATCCTAGGGTGTTACTATTGACCAGAAACTAAACTGGACTAACCACATAAATACTGTGGCTCCAAGAGGAGGTCAGAGGCTAAGAATCCTGCAGTGAGTAACTCACTTCCTGATACCCCAAAGCCTATCCAGCATCTAGAAGGTGAAGGTAATGTACCCACATTTCCTGACAGTAGAAATTTAGTAGGCAAACTAAATGGTGGGGAGGATGTAAAGAGACTACAGAGGGATGTAGATCGGTTGGGTGAAAGGGCAAAGATGTAGCAGATCGAATATACAATATGCTCAAGTATGAAGTTATCCACTTGGATTAAAAAAATAAAAAAGCAGAGTTTTATTTTAATGGCAAGAGATGAGGAAATCCTTGCAATCACAGAGCTTGGCTGGCTTGTACATGATCACAAGGTAACATGCAGATACAACATGCAGTTGAGGAGGAAATTGTGTACTGGGTTTTGTTTTAAAGGATTTGGAGTAAAACAGCAAAGCAGTCTTGCTACAGTTATACAGAGCTTAGGTGAAGCTATCTAAGAGTACAGTGCACAGAAGTAAAAACAGAAAGTGCTGGAGAAACTCTGCATATGTAGCAGCATCTGTGGAGAAAGAAACAGAGCTAATGTTTTGAGTCCAATATGTCTCCTCTACTGCAGGACAAGTGCTGAGAAAACATTATCATTGTTTTAGGAATCTGGAACATGAAGTCAAGGTCATAGACACATATGAAATATAAATTAGGAGCAGGAGTCCCTTTGCCCAAGTCATCAGTATAGATTGTAAAGAATGGAAGCCTTGGTATTGAGTCTTGTGGTATTCCAATTGTTACACCTAACCAATCTGAAAATGATCCATTCATGCCTATGCTGTTTTCTCTTCACCAAACAATCCTTTAGCAATTCTGATGTAATTCCTGATAAATTATCAGCTACACGATAAACTGTTATTTTGTGTTGAAACCTTGGATGTGTCACATTTTCATATGCCTTCTGGATATCCATATACACTATATCTACATTCCCATTTATTCATGTTGTTTGCTATTTCCTCAAAGAACTCTAACAAAGTAGTCAAACATGATTTTTCTTTCACAAAACCATGTTGACTCTGTCTGGTGGCATTAAACTGTGCTAAATTCACTCTATATAATGTCCTTTATAATAGATTTCATTATTTTCCTTATTTTCCCTATATTGGACAAAAGGCCTATTGTTTCCTGCTCTCTGTCTAACTCCTTTCTTGAACAGAGGAATTATGTTGGCTATTTTCCAATTTGATGACACCTTTCCAGAAACTAGGGGATTTTGGAAAAATAAAACGAATGCATCTACTATCTCAGCTGCTTTTTTTTTATAAATCTAGAGTGAAGTCCATTGGGTGTTGGGGACTTGCTAGTCTTTTGTTCTAATAATTTTTTCTATACTCTTAAGTTTTCTCAGTAGGATTGCTATTTATGTCTTCTGCAGTGAAGACAGACAAAATAAATTTGTTCAATGCAAACCGCACTTCCTTATTTTCTTTTATTAATTCCCCAGACTCTTAGCAGACCAATGATCACTGCTTTTTATCTACTTAAATAATTGTAGAAATTTTTATAATATTTTTATTTTTATATTTTAGGTAGCTTTCTCTCATAGTCTAATTTCTGTCTGTTTGTCGTCATTCTTCATTGTTTAATAAATACATTGTCCAGTCTTCTGACTTATCACTAATCTTATGGAACTGTATGTTTTTATTCAATTTGTAACTGTCTTTAACTTCCTCAGGTGGCCTTTTCTATAAGTCCATTATTAATCCGGTCTCATTTAACATTACAAGGACACGAATAACATGCCCTTTGTTTGGATCTAGAATGCTACTGTAAGAAACTGTATTGAAAAACAAATTATGAACCCATTTTCCAGCATTTCATTGGTAACCTGATTTGTCTAATCCATATGTGGGTTAAAATCACTCAAGGTTAACACTGTCCTCTTCTCACAAGCCCTTTGTCCTGTACATCCTGTCCTACAGCGTAGTTACTGTTAGGGTATCCATAAGCTAATTCCACAAGTTGAATTTGATGTTACTTTTTCCTTGTCTCTACCCAAAGTGATTCTACATCTTGGCCTTTAGAACTAAGGTCATCTCTCAATATTGTACTAATGTCATTCTCAGTTAAGACAGCTACCCACCACCGTTTCTGAGCTGCTTGTCCTTCCAAATATTATATACCCTTGAATATTATCCTTTGTCATCTTACAGCCATGTCTCTTTAATTACTATTTTGTCAAACATATCTATTTCTAATTCAGCTGTCCATTGGTTAATTTCGTTTCAAATGCAAGCACTTTAGAATACAGAGCCTTTAGTTCTGCCTTCTTCAGGAACAAAAACAAAGTTGCTGGAAAAACTCAGCAGGTCTGGCAGCATCTGTGAAGGGAAAAACAGAGTTAACGTTTTGGGTCTGGTGACCCTTCCTCAGAACTGATGGTGGCTGGGAAAATGTCAGTTTATATGCAGAAAAAAGGGGAGGGGGATAGGGTAGGGAGTAAACGATAGGATAGAGCCTAAAGAGAGAGAAGAGCAGTTGGACAGACGAAGGAGATGGTAATGATTGGGCTCGGAGAGTGAATAGTTGTTAATGGGGACTATTAGTAGTGACTAACAATAGGTGGTGTGTAATGGCAGGCTGTGTGGCAACAAGGCCTGGCGTGTGGGGTAGAGGGCTGGGACAAGGGAGATTTTATGCCATAAAATTATTGAACTTGATATTGAGTCCGGAGGGTGCAGGGTCCCCAAGAGGAAAATGCAGTGTTATTCTTCCATCTTGTGTTGAGCTTTGCTGAAACACTGCAGCAAGCCAGAGACAGAGATGTTGGCCAGGGAACAGGGTGGTGCGTTAAAGTGGCAGGCAACAGGTAGTTTGGGGTCTTATTTTGTGAGCAGAACGTTTCCCTAATGTAGAGGAGACCTCATTGTGAGCAGCGAATGCAGTAGACTAGATTGTGAGAAGTGCAGGTGAAGTGTTGCTTCACCTGGAAGGTATGTTTGGGCTCTTGGATACTGGGGAGGGAGGAGATAAATGGGCAGGTGTTGCACCTTTGCTGGTTACAGGCAAAGGTGATGTAGGGCTGTTGGGGGGGTGTTGGGGGTGAAGGAAGTGTGGACCAGAGTGTCCCAGAGGGAAAGGTCCCTGTGGAAGGCGGACAAGGGAGGGGAGGGAAATATGTGTCTGGTGGTGGCATCTTGCTGGAGGTGGCGGAAATGGCGTCTGATGATCTTCTGGATATGAATGCTGGTGGGATGGTAGGTAAGGACAAGGGGAACCCAATCACTGTTGCGGGAGAAAAGAGAAGGGGTGAAGACGGAAGTGCGGGGGATGGGTCAGACCTGGTTGAAGGCCTTGTTGACGACGGAGCTGGAGAATCCTTGGTTAAGGAAGAAGATGGACATTTCGGAGGCTCCCTTGTCGAAGTTGGCTTCATCTGAACATGTACGACGGAGACATAGGAACTGAGAGAATGGGATGGTTCTGACTTCTTACTATTTTTGCAATAGTCTTCTTTCCTGGCAGTTTGTACCCTCTGTCTCTTCTTTCCATGATACAATATAAATACCCTTACTAAGGGTATGCAGAGTCATCTAAACTTAAAACATTAGCTTGCTGTCTCTCCACGGATGCTGCCTGAGCCGCTGTGATTTCCAGAATTTTTTGTTTTCCGTACAGATTCCAGCATCTGCAGTAATTTGCTACTACCCTTATTATTATCTTGCTTTCTTGTCCTCTCTTGAATTTGTTACATTCCCTCAATAGGTTATTTTGTTCCACTATTTAGTTTAAAGACTTCTCCACTCCCCTAGTTATACGATTAGCAAGAGCACTGGTCCCACTGGTTTAATGTTGATGCCACATTGAGTGAGTGAAGTATAGCTTATCAAGCAGCAGGACAGTAACTCAGACAGTTAACTGCTCAGTGGAAGTTGCTGTTTGATTTACTGTAAAGTAATGATGAGTGATTTTGGCTGTCATTCTTAATGCAAAATCTGGTCAATTAGGTATTTATTTCTTACCCCATTTTTCTGCTGTTCCCACAAGATTTTAACTGGTGAGTATTATATAAATGATGCCAAGTACTCATTTTTAATCTTGCACAGCGCAACAAGTCTTGCGCACTGGAATGCTTGTATGATCTTTAAAAACCAGGCTGCTGATTGTAAACAAAATATCTGAATAATATATTACCTAAAACTAAATTTTAAGAACATGCACTGTTGTTAATGTTACCCCTTTGATTAAATAAAATTTAGGAATTCCTGTAAAACACAAACTCAAATTTCAACAAAGAATCGTGTTTTATGTTTTCAGTCAATTTCTGTGACTTTGAATACCATTTGTTGAAAACCAGTTTGAAGAAGTTACTGATTTCAGCTGGCTGAATGAACTCTTCGATTTCATCTGGACCAATTATGCTTTCGAATGGACTACCACTGTCGCATTATAATTTAGCTCCCTCACTTCTGGGTTTCATAATTTATTTCATTACAGTAAACACTGTTCAAATTCCAAAGACTGTTCAAAGCAAAACTGCACCTTCATTACAGAAAATTTATTTTAGTAGACGGCAACAGATGTAAGCTGTGAATAGTTTTGTAGGTATACTAACCTATTCTCCTTTTCCTCAATGGTGAGCCTTTGGAGCTCATGACTACATGGAGTGTTGAGGTGAGTAGCATAGGTGTATTTATGGGGAAGCTGGATAAAGTCACAGCAATAAAATAATAGAAGGGTATGATGATACAGTAAGATGAAGTCTAGTGGGATAAGGCTTGTGTTGGAGAAACACTGGCATGCACCCATTGGGCAAATGACCTCTTTCTCTGCTATAAATACAATGTAAAATGTAGGGAAAAAGAAATTTAAGGCTTGTGAACATATTGCTCAAGTCTCAGGTCGACATTGTGATGGCTTAATGAGTTCTTTTGGGATCTCTTTATTCTCAAGAACCTGTGGACACCAGTTTTTAAGTCCATATTATAAAGTCATATGAGATCTCTTTATTCTCAAGAACCTGTGGACACCAGTATTTAAGTCCATATTATAAGGTCAAATGTTTTGCACTGTTGTGTTTATATCTAACTGTTGTTCTGTTTTGTGTTAAAGCTCTGCATGCCCAAAGGGCTTTCCTTTAAAACACAGTCTGACAACCGAGATCCACAATTCCATTCGTTTATCATCACCCGTGAAGATGGTTCCCGCACCTATGGATTTGCCCTCACATTTTATGAAGAGGTGGCTAGTAAACAGATCTGCAGTGCAATGCAAACTTTGTATCACATGCATAATGCAGAACAATATGACATTCTTCATACTCCGTCTACAATCTGCATAAACTCTTCTGAGAGCGACTCTGCTAAGTGCAGTGATATACCTACTGGCATGACAAAACTACAGCGTTTCAATTCTTATGATATTAGCAAGGACACTCTGTATGTTTCGAAATGCATTTGCTTGATTGCACCGATGCCTTTCATGCATGCTTGTAAGAAGGTGCTTGAGCAACTCCATCAAGCTGTGACTTCTCTTCAACCTCCACCTTTACCACTAGAAAGTTATATTTATAATATACTGTACGAGGTGCCTTTGCCACCAGCGGGGAGGTCGTTAAAATTTCTGGGTGTATACAGTCCCATTGTTTGTCAAAGGCCAAGCACCAATGAGTTACCACTTTTTGACTTTCCAATTAATGAGATGTTTGAACTATTGGGTCTGGAAAATGTACTACAGCTGTTCACCTGTGCATTGCTGGAGATTCAAATCCTGCTGTATTCCCAACGTAAGTCCAACATTCATAATTAATTTTACATTTGAAAGAAGTACCAGCAAATGCTGCAGAAAATAGTAGTAGACCTGCAAGATTACAAAGGCAATGATTTATGAAATTGATCATGATGTTCACATCAAATCTTAACTGGGAAGTGTTGATTCAGCTTCACTGTTAACAAAGAGAAGGAAAATACAGAAGTGCAAACTATGGAAAGATTTAAGAGAAAATGAATAAGTTGGAACAAAAGTATTTGATGGAACATTGGGAAATATAGATGCGTTAAATTGATATAACAAAAAGAGCTACATCTTAAGTTCTATAAATTAATAGTTTGGATAATACTAAAAGTTTTTAAAGCTGAATCAAACGATAGAGCTGAACCTAGTGACAATAATTGCAAGAATTAGTGTGTATAGAGAATTAAAGCCAACCTAATGGGGAAAAAACATTTTTTTATAAACCTATAGGGGCAGAGGAAGAGAATAATTGAAGAGGATAAAGAAATAGCAGATGCTTGAAAATGCTTGTTTCAGTATTTATACAACAGACTTCTGGAAGTCTTCAGAAACTTGTGAATGAAGACATGGAAGGACAATTAATTGATGACTTGTTGATATGCATGAATAAGCAAATTGTTCTTTAAAACTGATGTGTCCAGGTGATAGGACCTTCAGTATTTGAGGTCATTATGCAAGGCATAGTCAAGGGGATTAAACATGAATTTAGATCTTCAGAAGATTGGCAATCATTGTCTCATTGCCACTCCACTGGAAAATCCCCTGACTCAACATTGTTAGACATTTCTTCCAGAACCTTCTGAATCTGGCAAAGCAAAGTAGATTTGGGAGGAAGACAGGATTCATCCTTTTTTTTAATGGAACTAGTTGCTTTGTGGTAAATTTCAGTGTCCTGTCTTTGAATATAAGTGGACGGGTGTGTGGATGAATGAGTGAGGCAGTAAGTGGGTGAGGTAGCGACAAGGTGGTCAGCAGGATGGTCAGGCTGGTGTTTGGGCAGCTGAGAGATTAGCTGGGTTGGTGCGAGTGATTAAGATGTCAGTTGTGGAGTTACTTAAGAATTTGATGATGTTTTAATCTGTTTTGCATTTTCTGGGCAAAGATCAGTGGAACTACATTGGAACTGCCTTTCAATGTCTCTGACTCTGTAGCTCAGGGGAGATTTAGGAGTCTTTATGCATGAATCACAATGAGTTAGCATACATGTTCAGCAGGTAATAGTGAAGGCAAATGGAATGCCTCCCTTTATTTCAAAGGGAAAGGAGTATAAAAATAGCTAAGTCTTGTCCCTTTGTCCACCCTTACCTAGTTAACTCAAATAACCTTTTAACAGGGATGGAATCTAATCATTTGATTATTTTATACCGCCAAAGCCAATGTTAACATTTGTGCCAGATTGTTATGATTGTAGACTTCTGACAACTAATGGTACTACGCTGCGAATGAAGTTTATCAACTATTCCACTATTCACCTGATTTTGGAGTTTTCTATATGATTTTATTTACTGAATAATTTATTGAGAAATTGAGGATCCTTAGTCCTCACTGCATTAGTTTGAAGCCACCTAGATTCACTTCTGGGTTTTGAATATAGCCAACTATTCTCCACTGGCCTGTTTGGTTTCCTTAGTAGTGATTGCTCTGGACTGGAGACCAGCACTCCAGTGTATCAGCACATTTTGTGGCAAGCTGGCTTGATAGGTGGGCTTTCTTTTGTGCACCCTAAACAATTTCATGAGACTTGAAACTCAACCATTACTGTGACAGTGGCTTTTTAATCTTCCTGCCTCCTTCTCATTCCTAATTTTAACCTCTGATTTTGCCAATTCTTTGCCTTTCTCCCAGTGATTTGCAACATCTGTTTCTGCCACATGCTGGGTAGACAGTAAACTCTTTAACAAGCTGAATCTTTGCAGGCATTTAGTGGCAGATGGGTACATAGAATTATTGCTTAAGTATCCTAACAAACACCAAACCTATGATTTTAAGTGAATGTTTGGTTAGAAAGAATGAACTTCCAATTTTTTTGTGTTCTGCTATTGCTTGCCATAGGAATATCACATGCTTAGCAGTAAAACAGGTACAATATTGTATTGATAGCCTTCTCCATTCCTTTTATTTTATCCAACGTTATATTTATTTCCAAAAACACCAGAAGTATTATGCTGGATTCTGAAAATCACTGTGCAATCATTTGCAAATATCCCCATTCCTGACCTTTTATGGAGGAAAGTAATTGATAAAATAGCTGAAGATAGTTGCACTGCCCTGAGAAATTATTAGTAAATTATTACCAAACATGCTTACTAGTTTTGAAAACTAATTTTACATTTGTAGGCTTGTCAAATTTTTGCATAATTAAAAATTCCGCATTTTTAAGTACTTTTCTATTTAGAAGTGTATATCTTTGTTTTAGCTTTTATCTTACTGCAGTCATGCCTTTGTTTCGCCATGTGAAAATTGAATTGAAATATGAAGATTTTAAGTGCTTTTAACTTCTAGTTAACAGTGTATGAATACTTTAATTTATTGGAAGCCAGCTTGCTAACCTCACTGCTACTGCACACCGAGATATGCCCCTAATTTAGTACTAGATTTCAACTGCTGCAGGGAAAAGTGAAATTCCTGCCTAGAGTTCACTAGACCTTTGTGGACACATTTCTTAGAGTTCAAGAGTATCTCCTTGCTTCCTTGCTGACTTAAAACGTTCCAAGCAAATTTAAGTATTGTGGAATTTGTATATTCAACTGACAGACCTCCTTTGCTTGTAACTGGTGCATACAGTCTTACAATCTGAATTCTACAACTACTTTCTTTTATCTTGTTAGCTAAATATTGCCACAGAAGGAAAGAAATGTTGACAGAAAACTATACACGTAATAAAAACAAAGAATCTAAGATTAAGAGATGTACCAAATGCTCATTAATGTACGTTAATTAAAGCAAAATTCTTTCTATTCTGACATTTTTGACACCTAATGAGGCAAATTCTTCCAATCAGTTGGTGAGTTGTGGGTAGGGGAGAGGAGAGTGAATACATGGGAAGAAAGGGAGTGAGGATGTGGGAAGCGGGTGGATGGAAATGAAGACATGGAAGTGGGGGAGTGAGGATGTGTTCAGGGGCATTCCATGCCTCCCTGCAATCAAAACCACATCCCGTTTAAACCTGAACCTGAAGCCATTTAAATACTCAGATTTAAGCAGTGCATAGTGTGAATGCACTGGTGTAAGTAAATGTAGCCCTTAAAGGGCAAATGCTGACCAAAGATGGCTGCTGTGATCACCTGACTACGTATTGAGTGAGTCCAGGAGATCCGTTTGATATAAACTATACGCAACTGTGCTGAAATTACCATTTTATCCAATGATATTGAAACAAAGAAATCTGAGTCAGCATCAAGAAATGCATATCTCTGTTTTAATTCACATTTGTGTGATAATTTAATGTATTTGGAGAAGAAAAGCTTGCTTGATGGTCAGTTTGGAAAGACAATGGAGAAAGGCAATGAGAATATACAAATGAACCGTGTTTGAGTAGTTGCTTGTCAAGCACAGCAGAGAGAAGAAAATATGAATTTGTTACAAGAGTTAGAAATTTCTCTCTTTCTCTCTCTCTCTCAACCTCTTCCCCTCTGTTTCTCTCAGCTTCTTTGAAGACAACACCTAATTAAAAAAACAAATTAAGCAAGCAGACATTCACTGATAACTCAAAGATACCTGCAAGCATTGTCACTGATGATATCAGTCAACAATTAAACAACCATGGTTTCAATTTAAAAATCTAACCACTCACGGACTCTAAGGATGTTTGAAATGCACAGCCTTTATTCTTGTCTGCACCCTCCCTCTTGTAAATTTATCATCTCTGTTTAATGTTGCATTTTAGTGATTCTTAGTGAGGTTAGCTGCCTAATAATGTTTTTGTACTATGTAAATGTAACACAGATATGGTTTGTGGATTCCATTAACTTGAAGATCTCTGGTGGGTTTATGTAAAACTAAACTATTACATTCAGTACAACATAATCTCGACACAGATTGTGTCTGGAGTACTGCAGTGCATAGAGTCTGTGGTCATGACAATATCAGGGTGTGCATGGTGATCTCTTCCTGGAGCAATACTGTAAAGATGGCAACATAACATCCCCTTTTTTTTTCAGAGATAGCTGACATCTGTTACAAGTAAAAACACAAATATTGGGTAATAGCAAAATTAGTTCCACAGCAATAGGAATTCTGAAATTTGCAAGTCTAAGAGTCTATATATTGTATCAGCAGTTTGACAAGTCTTATGGGGTAACCTTCTGAAAGTGGAGATACTTTGCTTAACTGTTGTTGGTCTGCAGACATGTCTTCAGAATGTTGATTATTCTCCTGATGTGACATCACAATGTTGTTACCTAGGTGCGTTAATTTGTGTTAACTGTACTCAATTGACATATTATACATAGCTGGTTTCTGTTCCTCCATAGTGTCGCTCCATTAAGTGTCATTATTTTGTGAAGTCTGGGCTCATAGTGTTGTTTGAAAGCCTCTGCAAATAACAGTGTTCCCTTGTAGGGTGTTAAACTCTGACCTATCCTGTGTATAGTTGAAGTGGTTCTGCAGGATGACTGCTGGTCATACACCATTTTCAGTCATGTTTGACGAGAATTGTAACCTGCATTTTTGAGAATTTGAATCGGTTGTGGCCTAGTAATATCATTCTCACTTGCCTTACAAACACGATCTCTGCTGGCAATGGTAACCCCATATCCACCGGTGTAGCTCTGAGCTGTCACAAAGTGAACACCATAATCTTGGACAACAGTATGGAGCTGGAGGAACACAGCAGGTCAGGCAGCATTAGAGTAGCAGGAAAGTTGACATTTTGGGTTGGGACCCTTCCGAAACTTCAACTTTCCTGTTCCTCTGATGCTGTCTGACCTGCTGTGTTCCTCCAGCTCCACGCTGTGTTTCTCCAGCTCCACACTGTGTTGTCTCTGACTCCAG